CCGGCTGAAGGCGAATAGAGGAATTTATGCCGCCCGACCAGGTGCGCGTGGGGTGTCCTGGCTCCAGCCCATCCGCTGGCCGGGCAGCAGAGGGGACCTGCCTTTCCTCACTGCTTGGGGGGCTACACTGGAAAAGTTTATCCTTGGGCTCTGTTTGGGAGCCTGGAAAGGGGCTGCGCTACGAGCAGAAGGGTCTCGGTCTAGCGATCAGGTTTCCTTCCCCCGATTCAAACCTCCTTAAAGCCGAATTCCTCGCAGTTCTTTGCGCCAAAATTAACTGACCTTAGGAGACTGTGTACTTTCTAACAGATTTGCCCTACACCTTCTGACTGGGTAACTTTACTTTGTTCTGTTGCTCTTCATAAAAAATTACTATTTTTGTCGATTTTTTTTCTTCCCAAGTTTTCCCTAATTGGTGTTTGTGTTCGTTCGTTTTAGAGAGCTGGAGGTGGCTACGCTCCTAGAAATTCCCAGGATGAGTTTAGGGAAGGGAAGGTCATGTTCACGAGCGAAAAATAAATAGATATTTTTGTTGGAGGAGAAAGCATCTAATTGTAAAATCATTTCTAATGTAATTGTGCATTACAGATGGAAGTAAATTGTTTAACACTAAAAGACCTGATCAGCCCCAGGCAGCCCAGACTAGATTTTGCAATTGAAGATGGGGAAAATGCACAAAAGGTAAGTGCACTAAGGTCTAACATATTTAGGATGGTGATGTCTAATTCAGTTAAGTGTTTCAATATGCCACTTGTTTTTGTCTTATAAAACCTAATGAATATGATGAACATTATAGAAATATACTTTTTTTAAATGGAGGCATCCAAACCATTAATAATTGAGTTTCTCAGTCATTGTGCTGTGGAAAGGGGCTAGGTTAGATGCAGTGTTGGAAACAATTTATATGAATCAAAGTTATGCTGGACGCCTCAGTCAAAAGTTTGCAGTAGTCGTAGCTACCAAAACTGGAATTAGCTAATGCTGTGTAGGGACGTTAAGCCTCAGTACCCAGGAAAATAGACCCTTTGCTATAAATGCTGGATTACTAAAGTACTGTGAAATATTCTTCATACCCATTAATCAGCTCTTACAGGCTGTCCCATTACAGTACTATTGCTGGTCTGGTTTTGCACTGAGTCATTACTCCTCTTTTGCAACCCTCTAATTTGTAAGACCATGGGGTGTCTTCAAGAAACATTACCAAGTAAACTGGCCATAGCAATATCTAAACTATCACTGTACCCACGTCAACACAGTTACACTCACCGAGTGCCCTCCTGAAACACTGAAATAGCTTGTTAGTATCAAACATGTAAACAATTTTAGACAAAGGCAAATAGATATAATAAACCTGGATGTAGAAACTTCGAATATAAACCTGAGCATAGCAACTTCCTTGGGCACTGAAATTCTCTAGGATCCTAGTCTAAATTTTAGATTTAGCATCAGCAATAAAACTGCCTGGTTGCAAAGAACCTATTATGTGACCCTTTGAAGAATATTTGACAACCACTAATTTTGGATAGGTGTGAAATTGTATGCTTTCCTGTGTAGGGTCCCCCCCCCTTTGCATTCGATTTACCTCTGTTAGGAAAAGAAGTATACCAAAGCATTCTTGTTTTAAAGAGGACTTTTTAAAAAATTACCTAAGCTATATGAGGGTGAAAATGCTCAGACTTTTTATTTTTTGAATTTTGACTTTAGGAGTTTCAGAGCAAAATTTTGTTATGTTTTATAATTTGGATGGGATAGCCTTTAAAATACATATATACATTTATATAAAGCCTAAGTCAGTGTCCACTTTTTCCATTCTGGGTCAGTGACTTCTTATCAAGTGCCTTCAACTTCTACTCTAGTTAGCATCAGTAAGTACTATGTCCAGATGAGCTTTTACATTCTAATGGATATGGGGAAAAACTCAAGTGACTCCAGAGAGATTGGGAAAGTGGTTACAATGTTTGAAATGGAATATCTGAGCAGGAATTATTTCACCTCTCAGAGAGAAAGCAAAGGATAGAACAGAGTGCTTCTGTCTAGGTACTTGGGACTTTGTCTCTCTTATCCTGTTGCTGTGAAAGGATTTCTAAGGATAGTGAGAACATGGGATTTGGAGTCAGATCTGGGTTTGAGTTTCTGCTCTGCCATTCATTAGCTATGTCACCTTGAACAGATATATTTATTTAGTCTTTCAACAAATATATCAAAGGTGCTAGGGGACAGAGGTTTAATAAGTCTCCTAACTTCTCCTAACCTGTTTCTTTTATAAATTGCAACTAATAAATAGCACCTCCCCCTTTGGCTTTTTGTTGAGCACTCAGCAACACATACTGTTCACACTATACTCAAACTGACAGCCCAAGACAAATATGATTCGGGCCCTGCCCTCTGTAACCTGAGAGACTTTCAGGAACTCAGATGTAAAACTAACCAACTGTATTATGATTTGATAAGTGCTGTAATATGAGTGAGAACAAAGTGGCCCCCACGGAACAAAGGAGGAAGAAATAAATTCATGGGGAGTCTAGGGAGAGTTGGAAGGCTTCAGATGAGCTAACATTAGAGTTGAAGATGTTCAGCCTACAAGAAAAGAGTGAATGAGAGGGACGTTTTAGGGAGGAGAAACAACACAAGGTGTGGACATTTAAGAAATGTTCAAGAGATTCAGCATGGCCACAAACTCACGGTGCTGAGTTGTTCCTTCTTAAAACCCTCTGAGGGATGTTTGCTTGCTACAGTGTCCTATGCATCAGTTGGCATATAGAGCACTTAATCTTTCTGGACTGGTCAAGAACTCTTACAAGTTCTGTATTATACATGCATTTTCTTACTACCGTGGAGAAACTTAAAACATAAAGGAGTTTCAACTTGATTACCCAAATTTACTGTGCCCAGTTGTGGGATTATAAACAACTCTCCTAAGTTTACGGTGCATTTAGGCATGACAAAAGTAGAAAATGGATGATTTGGGACAAAGAGGTGAGCAATGAGGACTGAGCTGTTGGGAAGGCTTCGTGAGGAGGTCACACTGAGCTAGGGCTTGAAGAAATGAAGGTTAGACTTAGGCAAGTAGAGAAGAACTAGTAAAGAAGTAGAAATAAGGCTCTGGCTGGTTAGCTCAGTTGGTTAGAGTGTTGTCCTGATATGCCAAGGTTGCCGGTTTGATCACCAGTCAGGGCACATACAAGAAGCAACCAATGAAAACATAAATAAGTGGAATAACAAGTTGGTGTTTCTCTCTCTCTCTCTCTCTCTGTTTCTCCTTCCCCCTTCCTCCCCCTTCCTCCCTCCCTCTCTCTCAAATCAATTTTTAAAAATAGTAGAAGTGAGTGGTATATTTGGGGACAGTGTCTAGACTTAGTGGTCACTGGTTTTTTCTGGTGACTCATCTCTTTTGAGAGTGGTTAAGAAAGAATGTCAGTTGAATTTGAAATATATATCTGTACCTGTGTAATCACAGGTAAATAAATATGTGCAGAAGGCAGCTGGTTGCCTCACTTTGGAATTCATGGAAGGTGCTAGCCAAACACAAACTTGAAAATTATCATTATACCAGTTGGTTTTAAAACCGTGTACATGAGAGTGGTGAACTACCCCAGAGAGAGCAAGTTGAGAAGAGTGTTGGGCTGAGGTTTGTAAGAGTGGAAAAAGAGGAACCAATGAAGGAGACTGAGAGGGAACAGAGAAGTAGGAAGAGAACCAACAGAGAAAGACTGCTATCTCAGAAGGACTGACGGTTTTACAGAGCAAAGAACAGTCAGTAGTCTTAACCACTGCAGTGAGGTCAAATGAGGTATTCTGCCGTTGCTTTCGCACCTGGAAGGTGACCTCGGTGAGAAGCAGTGGATCGGAACACACTGATAATTCGAGGAACCCCTGGGATATGGGCATGGGAAAGCCCTCAGTGTGGATTACTCATTCCAGAAAGTATGCTCTGATGGGAAGGAGAGTCGTTAGTCACTAGCTGGGGAAACTTCCCAACAGGTAGTTTTTGCAGTGAGCCTTAAACAATAGGTAAAGTTTCAACAGGCAAGGCTTAGCCGATGGCGTTAAAGACAGTGATGGTGTGAGGAACAGCCCAGGCCTGGCTCAGCGGTTGAGCATCGACCTAGGATCCAGGAGATCACGGTTCAATTCCTGGTCAGGGGCATGAAGGAGGTAGCCGATCGATGATGACTCTCTCATCATTGATGTTTCTATCACTCTTTCTCTCTCCCTCTCCCTTCCTCTCTCTGAAATCAATAAAGATATATTAAAAAAGAAAAGAAAAGCAAGTGGACTTTTGGGGCAAAATGTAGAGTTTGCATGAGATGAAACTGGAAAAGAGGTTGGCATGACATTACCAAAGGCCTTGACAAGGCCGATTACTATATTATTTGAGATAACATGATCAAAACTGTATCTGAAACAGAAGCAAGACCAAAACCAAAATCTTTTAACTACCAACCGTTTTCCAAGGCAACATATGGCATGGTTTTAATTCGGGTGTAATGAATGATGAACATTAGTAAAGCACTTCACAGATTACAGAATACTTTCACCTTCATTATCTAATCTGATCTCATCCTCACAGTAATTCTGGCAGGTAAGCCAGTGTGTATTACCTCCGTTTACATATGAAAACTGGAGAAACCTGTGTCATGGGTTATTTCTCCAGGCTATGTCTAAGGGAGGAAGTGATTTCCAGGGTGTTATAGCTTGGATTTCCTGACAAGCAGTTGTGACATGGAGCTTAGTGTGCAGGAGGTTTATAGGGAGTATTCTAGGAATTGGTGCCTGGAAAAGGGAAGGCAGCAGAGATGGGCAGAGGAAGAGGCAGATCTGCAGCACAGTTTCAGTGGAAGTCTGAGTTTAGCCTATGGGGAGTTCCAGGATAACCCCTCAGGGTGGTCCTGAGTCAGGCAAGGGGGCCAGGCTTTTACATATCAGGGCTCCGGGGAGGGGCAGGACCACAGATGAGTCAGCCCACTTGGCCAAGACATTCCAGGTAAGGGCTTCCTGTTGGCATGACTTCCAGCAGTTGGAATGAATCATTCATTCCTGAAGAGGTCTGGTTGCATCCCAGTTTCCACCACATAGCTGGGCAACCTTGCTGGCAAGCCTTGGAGAGAGAGACTTTAGCCTGAGTTCCTTATTTTATGGAACAGGAATCATGGTCCCAGACAGAACGAACAGTTTGTTCAGGATCAAAAAGATAGAGAGTTGAGACAAAAACCTGGTTTCCAAATTCTTGTTTCAATCGCCTTTTCACTGCCTTACACAGTGTGAGGATTGCAGGATAAACAGTTGGATGGAGCAGGGTCGACCAGATAGCAGTTGACTTTCTACCCACCTGAGACCTTGTAAAACAATTTGCTAGACATTTTTTCCTTTTGATATGGAGGTGTGATGCAATCACAGCATATCAGGTAACCTAACTCTCCTCCTACCTTAAGTACAGATGGTCCTGACTTAAGTTCAGCTTACAAGTATTCGACGTTACAATTGTGTGAAAGCAGTACGCATTTGGTAGAAACCATACTTGGAATTTTGAATTTAGCTCTCTTCCTGGGCTAGTGATATGCTGTAGGATACTCTGTGGTGATGCGGGTCAGCGGCAGCGAGCCGCAGCTCCCAGTCAGCCACGTGGTCGCAGGATAAACAACCCATACTCGACAGTGTGCTGTGTTGCCAGTGTTTCTGGATACAGCGTTTTGTTTTTCCCATCCCANTACTGTGTTTTGTTTTTCCCATCCCCTCATGTCTACAAAACACCCGCCTGGGTCTCCTGCTTCTGGTGAGAAGAAGAGGAAGTCAATTACAGGTGCTCCTCGACTTACGATGGGGTTCCATCCCTGCAGTGTAGGCATTAAGGGCACAGTTAAAGTGGGGTAGGCTAAGCTATGATTGTCGGTAGGTTAGGTATAGTAAATGCTTTTTCAACTTACCATATTTTCAACTTGCGATTGGTTTATCAGGACATAACTTCATAGGTCGAGGTGCATCTGTATTACTTAAACTGTAGTGAAAATATATCAAAGTGTTGGAGGGAGTGATCTCTCTGAATTGCTCCTCGGTAGGGAGAAAGGAGGAGGCGCGCCTTGTTCCTTGACTCCAGGTGCCATGGACGGTAGAGAGGGAGGGAGAATCTCCGTCTGCCTCAGCAGGCCTGGGCCACGCCCTCTGCTGTAGGGTTACCTTTTTGAATATCTAGATAATCAAGGCACAGTGTTCTCCATGCACCTGTACTGGGCAAGGCATTGTGCCAAAAACTGTGAGGAATGAGACATGCGGAACTTACTCCCTGACCTCCAGAAGTGCACAGTCCCGTGAATGAGACAAGACATATACCCGGGAAGTTAAATATATTAGCTCTGAGTGTCAGCATGAATGGTAATAAAGAATGGGAAAGAGAGGAGAAGATAATAGCTAAGTTTTATTGCATGCTCACTATGTGCCAGGAACTATTCGCATAACCCTTGAGGTTGATATTTTTATGAACTTCATTTTCAGTTGAGAGAATTGGAGACTAGTGAGGAGAAGGAGCTGGGCCTCCCTCATACTGCTAAGTAGCTGGCCCTGGAGCCTGCATGCAGACCGCTTCCCCATTCTACCTCTCCATCCATCCTAGTGGGGCTTGCTGGGGCCAGCTGTGTGTGGGAGCTGTGAAAAAGGTAGCTTCCCTAGGGGCACCCAATTCAAGCTTATTTCTAGATGCAGAATTTCAGAAACTCCTGCTTTCAGCTATTTCTTGCATACCAGTTACTTTTCTACGGAATAAGGTTGTATGTAACCTCAAGCAAGTTATTTAACCTCTCTGTGCCTCAGTTTCTTCAGCTGTAGACTGGAAAACTAGTAGTATCCAGGTCACAAGATTAGATGAGTTAATATACATAAAGTTCAGGAAACACAGTGTGGCGCATAGTAAACACTCAATACTTTCCCTGGAGGGTTCCCTTGCAGAAGACTGAATCAAAATTGCACACTTGTAGGAACTTGTTAAGAGATGTTGGTAGAGAGGGGAGGAGAGTGGTGAGGAAGAGCTCAGCCAAAGAATGTATATGCATATATGCATAGCCCATGGACGTAGACAGTTATGTGGTGAAGGCCTGGGGGGCCTGGGGGGCAGAGAGGGGAAATGGGGGACATCTGTAATAGTCAGCAATTAAAAAAAAAAAAAAGTTAAATGATAAAAAATAAAAGAGAGAGAGATGCAGTGCCCCAGGCTGGACGCTTACTGCTGTTGTGGCGGGAGAAACCAACACTCACTCCTACCCCCACCCCCTTCCTTCCTGTTACAGAAGGATAGAACCACCATGGCTAGCTGGCAGACTCTGCTAATCCAAGGAACAAGAGTTGGCATGCTAATACAAATTCCAGTTTCTCCCAGTCTTTTCCCTCTTCACATGTTGCTCATTTATAAGAAAGCACTTTTTTAAAACCACTGTTCAGCCAAAATCCAAGCATGCAGTAGCTATAGAGCGATACATGTACAGGAAAGGGAGTGACAAATACTTAACTACCCACCTTCCTAATTATGTAAGATGGTATTGCCTGGAGGTGAAGTCTTCTATAAGATGAGCTGAATTGCCCAGCTGGTGTTGCTCAGTGGTTGAGTGTCAACCCATGCACCAAGAGGTCGCCGGTTCGATTCCTGGGCAGGGGGCGTGCAAGAGGCAGCTGATTAATGTTGCTGTTTCTCTCTCATGGATGTTTCCCTCTCTCTCTGTCTCTCTCTCCTCCCCTCTTCCTCTCTCAAATCAATAAAAATATTTATTTTTTTAAAAAATTGAATCTTTCTGATTTTGAATGCCAAAAACTGGTTTTAGGGGAAAGAAATTTGTTATAATTTCTTGGTAGTTGGGTCAAATGTAGGTTCTCTATGCTCAGTCCTTTTTTACAATGGACTAATGGACATAATGGACCCATCATTAATTTTTCCATATAATTGTCTAAGATATTCTACTTAAAGTGTACTCAGGGTAGGTTCTACTCCACAAACTGTTGCCAAGCTGGAAAAAATTGAGAGTTAAGCACTTAGAAATCTCTATTGCAATTTAATATCACCCCCATGATATCTGAGCCTGTGATCAGTGGTCTCTTCTTGTTGAACAGGCTGTATGTAGATCAGTTTGATTGGCAAATTCAAGTGGAGAGTCACATGGAGTGAGGGTTGCATGAGTCCTATGAAGTAAGACCACATATCAGTATGTGGGAGTTAGAAAATTAAAAAACCTGGTCCACCATGGATGATTTGAGAACTACTTTGGGGGAATAGCATTAGACAGCTCCAGGTTCACTTAAATTGTGGCATTTTGTTGGATGTGCTTCCATTTAATTGGTCCTGCTAATTGCTATATTAGTGCTGGTGAACACTGAACTACAAAAGCATAATTTCTCTTCACTGGTTAGTGCAAACTTAAAGTGTTTAAAAAATATGGCACTTAGGAGCATATGGACCCAGCTCACATTTGCCCTTCTCACCCCCAACTATAACAAGCGTCCACCAGTGACAGATACACTCATGACTTCTTTCACAGAGATGCAATGAAAACTGCGTAAAAGAAGTAGCAGATTATAATCAGTTTCTCATTGGAGCCCCTCCTTGAGTCCCATGAATCTGTCTGTCTGTTTTCGTTAGTCCTATCCTAATATTTTTCAGCCCTGAACATATGGTCTCTTTGTATTTTCATGGTGGGAACTAACTGTTCTCTTAGCTTGATTGCTGACCTTTCTCATTCTTACTAAAAGGTCTCTTTTTTAAAATAGGAAAATGTATTTGTTGATCGATCAAGGATGACCCCGAAGACTCCAATAAAAAATGAACCAATTGACTTATCGAAGCAAAAAATCTTCACTCCAGAAAGAAATCCCATTACTCCAGTTAAGCTTACTCCAGTTAAGCTTGTCGATAGACAGCAGACAGAACCATGGACACCCACAGCTAACCTGAAGATTCTCATTAGTGCTGCCAGCCCAGACATAAGAGATTGGGAGAAAAAGAAGGGACTGTTCAGACCCATTGAGAACAAGGAGGACGTGTTTACAGACTCTCTGCAGGTAAACAGGCTGTGCTCCCAAGGGCTTTTATAGAATTATAGAATTAATTTTTTTACTTGATTATTTAAAAAAATCATAGAATTCTCAGTTTTTTAGCTACTGTTGAGCCAAAAGCACTATTAAACTTAATATCTTTTTTTATATAGCTGAAATGGAATTCTCACTCTGTATCTCATGTTTCACAATGAATGCTTTCTTCTCTTTATGATATTCCCTTGACCAGTACACATTTAAAAATCAATTTTTAAGCAATGATATTTAATAATTTTGATTTAATGAGGGAATTTGTTTTGTTTGTTTTTTCAATGTAGCTGTGGATTTAATTCTCCAATTTTAAGGATATTAATCTAAATATTTTTTACTTGGGAAGTGGTGTTATTCTCATATATGTCCAGTTTGTTGGGTTTGGGCTTTAACGTTATCTTTAAGTTACATGTCCTGTGGAGAACCAGAGCTATTGAATAAGTGATATAGCTGTACTTTTTTAAGAAAAAAATCAGTGTTCACTAATTTTTCAGTCTCCCATCAAACTTTTGCTGAGAAATACTAAGAAAAATTACAGATGTGAATGTTATTTCTCTTCCATTTTTCTTTGTTTTGGTGGATTCTTTTAATCTATAAAAATTACCAAAATGAATAAATTGGGACAGAAGACAAAAAGATGCCCCAAATTACAGCTTGAAATTTATAGACGAAAATGAACTGAATGTGCTGTACACTTTATTGCAGTGGTAGTCACAGATTCCTTTACGTGACTGAGTACACATCTGATCACACATTGGGAATCACTGCCCTAGAGAAACTCTTGCGTATGTACACTAGGGGACATGAACAAGAATATCAGAGCAGTATAGTTCCTATTAGCCCAAGTTGAGAACAACCCAAATCCTTATAAACAGGAAATGTTCAAATAAGTTGTGGTTTATTCATGCAATGGTGATCATACACACAAGAACCTGAATGAATCTTAGGATATACAGTAAGTCCTCACTTAACGTTGTTAATAGGTTTTACGACTTTAAGCCAAATGACAAAAACAAAACAAAACACCAAACCAATTTTACATAGTTAATTGATATAAACAAGAGTTAAGTTCCTACAGCATCTCATCAGCATTACAGGAAAACAATGTTGAACTAAATGACATTATTCAAGGCGAGGACCTGTTGTATGTTGATTGAAAAAAGCAAGTCTCAGAAGGACTAAAACCCAAACAAAACCAGCCTAAGTGATATATTATATAGGAATACACATCTGTATGACAGAGTGATTTAAAAATGGCAAGGAAATGATAAATACAAATTCAAGAGATGGGTTACTCTATTAATGTAAACTAATAGTACTATTCTGGTTTGGGGATTGGTTGGGAGGTAAAGTCATGGTTACTAAAGACATTATATAAATGTTAAGTGGATTTTATATGACCAACTATTCTATCAAAAGGCAATAAAGAACTAGTATTTTTTTAAAGATATTCCTTAGTATTTTTTAAGAACTTAAAGGGATCCTGTGACCACAAAGTTTGAGAACTACTGTTCTAGGATATACACCAAATTGTGCAATTACTAGGTTATTGGATATTCACATACTCACAAGATAACAGTGAATTGTTTTCCCAAGAGCTGTTTGCGTCCACCAGTAATGTATAAACATATATTGACCCACAGCCCCTCTGACACTTGAAATTCTCAAACTTATTAATTTCTGCCAACCCAGTGAGGTGTTCATTTGCTTTTTCCTGGGTTACTGATGAGGGTAAGCACCTTTCCATATCTTTACTGGCCACCATGTTTTTTCCTCCTCTGTGAAATACCTGTTCATGTTCTTTGCTGATTTTTATTGATTCGTAGGGTTTACTGTATATCTGTGAAACTAAACCTTCATCAGTTATACGTGCTACATTTCAAATTGGTGCCTGCCTTTTTCCTCTTTATGTTGCTTCTTATAATCAATTGTCCTTGTATCATTTATTCAGCTCTTCCTCTTCCCTGGAGCTGGCAGTGCTACCTCTGTCACCTGTCAGAGTTCCATTTGTGTGTACGTCTGTTTCTGGGCTCTTTCTGTTCCACTGGCCAATTTGTCCATCACTGAACCAATCCCATACTGTAATAAGCCTTCATATCAGGTGAAGCAAGAACTTCAATTTGCTTTCCTTCAGAGTATGTGGGCTATGCTTTGCCCTTCTTTCTTCCATATGTACTTTAGATTGGATTTTAATTGTAATTGCATTGCATGTAGATGAATTTGGGAATTAACCTGGTTATGGTACTGAGCCCTCCTATCCATGAGTATATGTTTCTCTGAGTTTCAAGTCTATTTCTTTAAAATGTAAATTTTAATATTTTATGCAAATAAATGTTTGTTAGATTTGTTCCTAAAAACATTATCATTCTTTTTGCTAATAGAAATCATATCTTTTTAATTCATTTTCCGTTGCTGTTGTATAGTGATGTAACTGACTTTTTAAAATAGTCTTCAGTTTTTCGTGTAACCAATCATGTGTTCTGCAGAATGAAAGTTTCGCTTACTTATTCCTTCCAAATTCCTGTGCCTCAGTTTCTTTTTCTTGTCCTCATGCCCTAGCTAGACCTCTAATATGATGTAGAAGAGGGGCATCCTTATCATTTTCCTGATTTTTAAGGGAGCGCTTCCCAGGTTTGCTCTTTAAGACTGATGTTTTCTGTTGGGTTTTTATAGACACACTTCATTCAAGCTCTCCATTCCTAGTTTTCTAAGGGCATTTTTGAAAATCATGAGCGGGTGTTAAATGTATTAAATGTTTTTTCTGAAGCTATTGAGATCATCATATTGCTTTTCTCCTTAAATATATTCATTGAAAAACCTTTTACTTTCTTGGGGTTGAACTCAGCCCTTTTCAAATGTGGGTTGATGAGACAAGGACATTTGTTTTGTGTACTTGCAACAAGAAAGAGTAAAGAAGAGTAAGGTTTATCTGCTCTTGTTCAGTTGCGTCAACCCTTGGTCATTTGTAAACATATGAAACTGTTTAGTGACACAGTGGAGGCCAGTGCATCTTAAATTTCATGTCAACAGAAATCACATAGGATCTATGAGGACAGATTCTGATGGATCAGGTCTGAGATGAGTCCTGAGATTCTGCATCTCTAACAAGCTCCTAGTGATGCTTGATCTACAGTCCAACAAACATACAGTCAGCAAGAGTATAGCAGCTTATAAATGACTGCACTGTTCATTGTTTTAACCAGTATGCTCGGCCTCAAATTGCAAAGGAAAAAAATTCAGTCCAGAGAAGGCAATAGGTAGAAAATTACTTTAGGAAATGTATTTTAACTGGAATCTAGGATGGTGTGGATTGGGATGTCCCCCTGACTTACCAATACTGCCCTTTGCAGTTTCTCTACTAGGATGTTAACCGTGACATCTTCCACTCCCTTCTATCTGCCCTCTGTAGCTTTGTGTGGTTGGGGACAGTGCTGTGGACAAATTTGAGAAGCGAAGGCCAAGCAGAAAACAGAAAAGTCTGGGACTCCTGTGCCAGAAGTTTCTAGCTCGCTATCCAAGTTATCCTGTGTCAACTGAGAAAACTACCATCTCCCTAGATGAAGTTGCTGTCAGCCTTGGTATGTATGGTCAGGCTACCTAGAGGTCTGTCCCCAGTTATAGTGGGAAACTGGTTCCCGCGGGCAGGCTCTAGGCATCAGATTGCCTCTTTTATTAAGTAAAGGAGTAAGGACGGGCAGGTGGAGCTTCCTTCTTCCATGATCATTATGTGTAGGATTCCAGGGAGCCTTCTTGGCCTGAGGGTCAAACAAAAATTTGGTTTTCTTAACCTTAAAAAATAGTTTTATAGGACTCACATTACAAAGTCCTATCACATATTTTAATTTCATCTTATTTCAGGCAGGCTCAAAAAATATTTTGAAATATCCTGTTGTTTATTTTTAATAATGCCTCTACGGGGTCAGAACTGGTGTTATTTCTGTTATAAAGCAGGATTCGAGAGCAAGAGCATTCATTACGTTTGAAGCCTTGTGCTGTGCTGTTCACAGCAAGCCTGCCAAACTAGGGAAAGCACATCTGGACATAACTCAAACAGCTAAATCTTATAACAAAGAAGAGTACATGTGTTCACATGGGATGGGTATGTGTAATGTGCAATGGTGTATGTTCTATAAATATGTACAGCAGCTTCCGAATAGAGACCCCTAGTGGACATGGGTCGCATTTGGTTTCAGGATGAACATGACTGTTGACAATCATTAAATAAGCAGGAATCACAAAGATTTGCAGGTGTGGGGTGTCTCCTTAGGAGGTTTTACATACATAATTTTAGATTATATTTTTAGTTTGTCTATTAGTTCTATTTCTTCCCATAGCCCAGAGAAATATGCACCAGTAGATGATTGTCAGTCTGAATTATTCAAACTGATGGCTAAAAAGATTGTGTTTGCTGGAAACTGAAATAACAAGGAGGCAATGGTTGGTGATGGGAAGACCACGGGATGGGCTTTAGGTCAGACAGGGCTGGATTTGGGGCCAAGCTCTCTAATTTACAGGCTGTGTGAGCTTTAAAAAGATAATTAACCTTTTCTCATAGGGACCGTAGCACCTACCTGGCAAGGACTTAGCCAGGTTGGGGTAATGTCAGTAACATGCCCAACTTGGGGCCTGGCGTGGGTAACTCTTATTGTTACATGGAAGTTTTCACTAAGCTGTCCTTTCAACCTCTGCAATTAGGAAGAGGGAGTAGAGTGCTTTGATTGGGGAGCCTGTTTGAAACCCAGAAGTAGAACACAGTATTTGGCACAGGTAGCAATGAGACAAGAAGGGGAAAGTGACCCAGCTGGAAAGAGGTTTGGTATAGACCCATTTGAGGCACAGCATCCTGGAGACTAGTCTTACAGAAGATGAGGGTAGAACAACAAATCAGTGTCCTCACTGGGGTTCAGGAAACCGGGACCTTGCACTGATATTAATGCAGAAGACGAGAGGTTAGATGTTGGGAGGCTGTGTTACAGGACAGACTCCTACTCCTGGGCTGCAGGTCATTCTGCAGATCCCCATGTTATGACTGCCTGGGACAGAACTCAGAGATGTTTGCAGCAGCTTCCTAATGCCTCACATCATCCAGACCTGCCAGATGACCTTGCCATCTCTCTTTACGTGAGGTTGAAAATGAGGTCCCTTCCTGGAAATTATTTCAGTGGTGATCGTCTCTTCGGTTGAGTATAAACTCCCTGCTACATCCCAGGTCACTAGCTCTAAGACCATATTTTAACCAAGGATGTGCAGAACATTCAAATTGCAGTTTCCCATATTCTGGTCCCATGTAGATTTGACATGGATGTTGTAGGTAAGAAAGAGCTGGAAGTGACTTTATTAAATGGAAAATAGCTCAGCCTAAGAAACTCATCTGCAGGGCTGAGAGATGTTCTTGATAAGTTCCATCGGGAACTAAGGGTAGCCTGGTAAACATTGGTAAATCCTTGAGGGCGTAAATAATTCAATGAGTAGGATTAATAGGATCGCCTTTGTACAAAAAGAAAAGAAGGCTGAGTGCCAGGGAGAACCCTCCTGGCAGGGCAAGGCCCAGAGTAACCTGCATGCCTTGAGACCTGTGAAATGGGACTTTGCAGTGCACCAGCCAATGGACAGTTACACTCAGTCAGATAGAAAAGGTGAGTGACTGTGCAGGCAAGCAGCTGCACGTGCTCTTACCAGCATCACCTACTAGATACCTGTTGTGCACATTAAATAGCTTCTTACTCTCCCAGTGGTCAGAATCTTCCTTTATTTTCCCTTCTTGGGATGTCTAGCCACTAGATGGAGACTAAACAGATTGTATCTAATACAGAACAACAAAATGGCAGGCACATGGCTGGCCCTGGGGTGTCTCAGTTGCATTCACGTGACATTTCTAATGGGAAGGCTTATAGAATGCTACACTCTGAACACGATGTGTTAATATATGAAAACAGCCTGGAATAAGGAACCCAGCGGGTCTGGACAGGGGGCTGCTGACTGCCCCTGCCACCACCTTCCAGCAGACATCTGGCCCTGAAGCTGGAGAGTTGGAGGGTAAGGAGCCTTTCAGGGTCATGAGCTGAAATGCTCTGATGGACTATGAAATGCCTCTTCATGCATGTGATGGAACTTTCTCTTGGCTAGGCAGTGCTCATTGTAATTCAATCTGTTTCTCCTGTTAAGTTTTTGAACGGCCCGAAGCTACATTTGCTGAGTCTGCCCTGATTATATAACAGTTCCTGGCACATGCACAGAAAGAGGGCATCTTTGTAGCTGGGCTGGTTTTCTAGGAGGTGCCTGGAGGCCTCTGTTACGGATACTTACCTGAGAGCACAGAGGGAGGTGGGTTCCAAAAGCTGAAGGGCCTGTTGCACAACAGTATGAGTCACAGACAGGAGATTTCCAAAACCTGCTTCTATTAATCCACTTGTGATGCTAGCAGAGATCTGAGGTATCCCCTGTGCCATGCAGGAAGTATTTGCAAAATAATATACAAATAGTAGGTAAAGTAAACATCTGTTGGAGATACATTTGTGGTTGAATTTAACCCTCATCGTCTTATGAGATAAATCCTAAGGCACAGACAGGTTCCATAACTTCCCAGGATCACCCAATTGCTAAGGGACAGCACAGGGATTCAGATCCAGGCAGTCTAACCCCACAGTCCCCACGCTAACCACCATGAATATTTTGGGTAAATTCAGTAGACAGCTCATAATCCTAGCTATCTGGGGCATGTTGGGCAAGGAGTAGGGAATTGATGAAGTTGACGGTACAGAGACTACTGTACATGAAGTCTCTGTTTCACCACTGGCTGCTTGGCAGGGTACTGTGAATGAGAGCACCGGGAGAGTTGTCAGCAGCCATCGTGAGCCAAAGGGTACTCAGGTGTGGTCCCAGCCCTGGCTGTAGCTTCCTCCATCAACTTGAGAAGGGGCCCAAGCTCTTGACTCTTGAGTTTCCAGTGTAAAATAGGACACAGAGTATTTACCGTATTTTCCTTACTGGACCATTAAGAGAGTTAACAAGATAATTCTTTCACATCATTCAAGCTCCAGAAAAGGATAGTGTTGTCCAAACAAGGTATCAGTTCTTGGACACTATTTTATAGTCTGCCTAATTAGGAATATAAGTCAAAATCAGCCATCCAGCATTCATCAGGTGTCCATCGGGTATACTAGCCTTGTGTTGCTCAGTCGCACCCATTTTAACTTGCTAACAGGCCTAAAGAAAAGACATAACCACTGTGTGTAATATAGACGGGACATCAGCCTTCTCTGGGTGGAGGTTTTATACTATTCTTAGTGGGGATTGGATCCTAAGAAAAGGAAAGAAAAAAATTTCCATTACTTTCATCCTTGCAGGATGAATTTGTGGCACATCCACGCTTGCTGGATATCCCACCGGGCATCACACAGAGTAGTTCCTAGACATGGTCCTGGCTCTCAAGGAATTTCTCTGCATGTCTGCATGGTGATGGTCGGCTTCTGTTTTTCAAACAGGCGTTGAAAGGAGACGCATCTATGACATTGTCAATGTGCTGGAGTCGCTGCATCTGGTCAGCCGGGTGGCCAAGAATCAGTACGGCTGGCATGGGCGGCACAGCCTGCCAAGAACCCTGAGGAACCTGCAGAGACTAGGAGAGGAGCAGAAGTATGGGGAGCAGATGGCGTACCTCCAGCAGAAGGAGCTAGAGCTGATGGATTATAAATTTGGAGACCGTAAAAAAGATGGCTATGCAGATCCCCAAGACCAACACTTGCTGGATTTCTCTGAGCCCGACTGTCCCTCTTGTGAGTTCAGCGTAACCACATGAGTAATAGCACAGAGACAGGGATGGTCTCTTCAGAACAGAGTCACTGCTGAGGTGGGAAGTGCCAGATTGACAACCCTGGAGGGAGGTGTCCTGTTACCCTCTCCACTGAAGAGAGGGAGACAGATGGCTCCCCAACTGGGTTGCCCACTCAACCTCACTGAAAACCTGTCTGGTTTACTTGGTATTTGGTGTTTGGACCATAGATCGCTAGCAGAGCTCCTGTTTCAGATTGGCAGCCCCATGCTGATTTCTCTTTGTGAGCCTTTAAGGAAAATTTACTTTGAAGAAGTTATCGTTACAATGAATTCAATTTTTCAAATTATATATAGGAGGCTACTTGGAAAAGAACCTCGTTAGCCGCAGATGTTGATGAGAAAGATAGACGGCCCCGCTTTCATTCGATGCAGAACTTTTTTCCCTTACACCTGCATTGTTCTTCCCCTCCTGACTCATTTGTCCTAGGCCTGTTTTAACCGTTGGTCTTCATCGTTCTCACGCTGCTACCCCTGGCTAAGATGATAGAGTGCAAGTATCACCCTCATTTCGCTTGCAAATTTAAGAAATAGGAATGGAAAGGCGGGCCTGGTTTTCATTCAGTTTACTGCCTCATGCCTTTTAGTTCCACCCCATGAGCCAGTTCTTATCTTAATAACCAGGGGAGATAGCCATCTGTCGGGATGGTTTGCCTGCCATCCACAGCAACACGTATCGCATCAGTGTCTCCCATTTAGTTATAGTTTATTTCTTCACCTATTTCTGAAAAGAAATGCAAGAGGTGGGCACCTACTGTGTGTACCATGTATTCTAGATACAGACACACTTCAGAGCTGTTGTGGGTTTGGCTGCAGTAAAGTGCATTGTAACCTTTTTGCTGGTGGAGCGTTCTTGCCTTCATTCTATTAAAAAAAAAAGCAATATCTGTGAAGCACAATAAAACAAAGTGCAATAAAACAAGGTCTGCCTGTATTGTGGGCACAGAGAAATTAAAGTGGAATCCTTGCCTCTGAGGGAAGAGTTGATGTTTAAAAGCAGTTCATCCCTAGCCTATACTTTTCTCCTACATTAATCCTGGCAAAAAAAATTGCTTTGGGAAAACTACCTCCTGCATCCTATTCCATGAAGTATGAGTATAAAGCATTAAGAGTATTTAACATGCACATTTCAGAGTCTATTGCTACTGAATATGCGCAGCAAGAGAATCCGTTTTTTTTCCCCATGAGCCATCGTTTGTGATGTGTGTCCAGAAGGCTCCTCTCTGTAACAAAAGTGATCTTTCCATCTACCAGCAGAGGTAGATAGTTCTGACAAACTCTAAGTACAGTCTTTCTTGTGATAAATTATCTTCTTTGATGCCTTCGTTTCGTTTCCTTTATAGCATCTGCAAACAGAAAAGACAAGTCGCTGAGAATCATGAGCCAGAAGTTTGTCATGCTTTTCCTCGTGTCTAAAACCAAGATTGTTACTCTTGACGTGGCTGCCAAAATACTGATAGAAGGAAACCAGCATGCGCTGGACCATAGCAAATTTAAAAGTAAGCACCTTCACCTAAATCCACCTCGCACAGAAAGGATGGGATTCATAGGTTGATGTTTTCTGCCTCTGAAAGTAAAAGAATTATTTTTTTTGGAGAAGTGCACTCCTTCCTGCATCCCAGGGTTCTTGGTGCTGTGAGAGGTAAGTTGATCACATACTAGGCTTCCCATTGACGCTTCCTCGGCAGTTAGAGTGGACGGTGGAAGCAGGATGCCATCCCGCAAATGCAGGTCAGGGAGGGTGTGAGACGCTTTGCATTTCTCGTTAGTATCGCTGTATCCAAGACAGAATGTCTGAGTTTTCTTTCCCCTTTCTTCCCCGCCCCCTGCTTACTCTTCTGATGGGTGGAGATGAAAGTTATCCACAGGTAAGAACCAGAGGAATGACCAGAGTAGGGGAAGGGTGGTGGGACGTGGCTGCCAGATGAGGAGAGCGTTTCCGAGTTTCATCCTCCGCGCATCTTCCTCTCTGTTGAGCATGGGTCCCGAGCCAGGTGCCCTTGGCTGCTGGTAGCCCTTTCAAGCCCTAGGAAGCCATGAGCTTAACATACCCTAGCTATTTGTTTGTTTGTTTGTTTGTTTTCAGCTGGAATTATAGCCATCCTGTGGGAGAAATGACTAAATAAAATATAGCTCTCCCACAGTTGGGAAGAAAATTGCATCTGGGATGAATGCTTGCTGTTTCTAGACTATAATCAAAGCTCCTTTGCCTGATCTTAGCCCTGAAGCCAAGTGGATTTCCTACCCATAAATTGATTTCTTAAATAGAAATTACTTTGTGGGCATCACCCTGCCTATTTAATGTGTTGCCACCCCTTCTGAATTTCTCCTCTAGTCCATGCATTTTCAGATGTGTCCCAAAGCCCCTTAAGACTCAGGGATTGTGCCTCCCACCCCTCCCCTACTAGGTAGCCAGAAGGCCAGGACTTCAGGTGAGGAACTGCCTCTCTTCAGCACAGCTGTACCTCAGAATCTTGAGCCCTGAATGCCTTATGTACCCAGGATACAGCCTTGCAGGAAGCTCTGGGGAATCCCTGTCGTTTTCACAGCCCAGCTGCCTGGTGAAGCTGGTGCCACAACCTCCTGCCGGGAGAAACTCAGGGCAAGCTATCAACATGCCACACATCAGAATCGCATTTACTAAGCCTCTAATTACAGCCTGTTTCCCTCCCTCGGGTGTTTTTGCAACCATGGCACTCCTTGCTTGTCTGTAAAGGTGTGAAGCTGTGGAAATGGAAGGACACACCGACCTTAATGTGTGTCTGCAGGTACATCAGGTACATAAATCCTGGGATTCCCTGACAGAGCCATCACTCATTTCAGCCCACCCCACAGCTTTCCCCCTGAGGCTTATGTGGTGGCCAAGAAAAGTGACCTATCACATAAACTAAAATGTAGTGGTGTCAGAGGCAGTGTGACCATAATTGTGTTTTATATCTTCAAGCAAAGGTACGACGTCTCTATGACATCGCCAATGTTCTCACCAGCCTGTCTCTGATCAAGAAAGTGCACGTCACAGAAGAGAGAGGCCGTAAGCCAGCCTTCAAGTGGATTGGGCCTGTGGACTTCAGTTCCAGTGGTAAGGCTTGCTTTTGTGAGGGACTATTTTATTTATAACTCCCAATTCTTTTTCTAAACCATACATCTATTACAGAATGAGATCGATCTTCTCCTTCATTTTCCATTACCCAGGTCACATTCAAATTAGACTGGTGATGTCACCCTTGGAAAAATGAGTATTAGTCTACTAATGGTGTGCTGTTTGGCTAACACAGTAGGAAGGAAAATAGTGAAAACTTATAATGTGGGAGTTTCTGTAACTAGTAAATTACAGCTCTTTAGTATTTTCTGTTTTATCCAGAAGTTTTTTTCCTGGAGGTTTGGGACTGAGGATTAAAAATGACACTTATGAACTCGGATTATGTCTGCATTAGTGGAATAAAATGTTGTTTTTCTTTGAAATTCCGCATGATGTAAAAATTATATATTGCTATCACAAAACTGATATGTGGTAAAATGGCTTCTAAATATAGTATGGATGTAATGAACATCTTTTTTTGTAATTTGAAAGGTTATAAATGTCATAATTTTACTAAACTGGAGCAGAAGAGGGTATTATCTTCTCCCTATTTCACAGGTAATAGCTGAGCAATTGGAGACTGGATTCTACTGTACCAGCTACTTTACATACAACGAAGCTGCCTGGGAAAAAGCCATTAACGTGATTTTTAAATTACTCTTGCAATTTTGGTGTTAGTGATATAAATTCCTGCCACTTAACCCAGGCTTATGAAAGATACAGCTCTCTACCTCATTGTAGCACATTATTCACTTAGGACCTAGATGAAACCACTTGAAATCTAGTATAACTAATTCAACCCAGCAAGTACTCGCTGAATATGGACTGTGCACGGTTACTATGCTGAGTGCCATGAGAGATTTAAAGCTGTATAGGACGCAGTCCCTGCCTACGTGCAATACACAACTTTGCCATTTTCTATTGCTCTGCCTTTGGCTTCTCTTCATCCTTTCACCTGTGAAGCCCTGCCCTCTTCTTTCTGACATGGATATATTCTGTTCACCTTTCAAACTTTGCCACAAATGTCAGCTCCTCCATAAAGCTTTCCCTGATCACCCAGAGCAGAGAGTTTCTCATCTAAAGTATGTCAGTTTAGTGTTGTGCTGTTGTACTTGGCGATGTTGATGTTGGGCTCTTGTCCCTGCTCCATGCATTGGAGGGCAGAAACGGTCTTTGTTCATCTTTGATTACCTGAAGTACCCAGATCTGTGCCTTGCTCACTTTAGTTGGTTAATGAGCTTCTATTGAAGTCGTATGATTAGCACACATTTGAAACTTAGAAAATAGTTAAGCACTACACGTGGTGGTAGTGGCTCTGTAGGAAATCAGAGAGGATATGGGTTAAGTTCTGATGAACTTCTAGGTTTTGGAGGGATGGAGTGCTTTTTAGTTGAAGGAACTGAGACTTAAAAACAAATCTGGTCTGTGTTGGAGAGATCAGCTATCCTGATTTAAGTGGAGGGTTTAGGTAGAGAATGGTGAGATATGAAATGTGGTCAGTTGGAACAGCATTTTTGGAGGGCCTCAAAAGTTAAGCCAAGTTTGCACTAGATATAGTAGACTAAAGTGACAAAGGGTCTTTAGATAGATTATAAGAGAGGAGGGACTCAAAGGTGGTGGCATCATTGCAGAAAATGAGATGGTTGGGGAAATGAGCTGGAGTTGGGAAATTGAGTTCATGTATTTGCATAACCAGTGGAACAGCAACTGGGAGAGCTCTGATCTGATGAAGGAAAGAGGGCTCGGAACCAAGTCAGGAACCTCGAAAGTAACTTACCTACCCTTCAGAAATGTAATCCTCTTTCTGCATTCCCTAGTTTCTACTGACAACACCGTCATCATCAACCCAGCAGTCAAATTTGGAAAGTCAAGTTACGTTTGATTCCTTAATTCACTCTCCTTCACTCCTTGAGTAACAATTCCTCACAGTTAAGCTTCATAGATGTCTTTCCACTTCTTCCTTCCCACCGTCATGCCTTTTCTTCCTTTTAACAGCTTTATTGAGGTAGAATGACACACAATAAATGGCACGTGGTTAAAGTTACAAATTGATAAGGTTTTGTGTCGTGCATAATCACCACAGTCAAGATAATGAACCCATCACCCTCCAGAGTCTCCTCCTGACCCTTCAAAGTCCCTTCCTTCCTGTCCTAACCCCAGGGGAAACCACTGATCTGCTTTCTTTCATTCTAGATTTGTATTTTCTAAAAAATTTTGTCAGTGAGTCACACACAGTCAATGTTCATTATTCACAGATTTCCATATTTGTGAATTTATCTACTAATTAAAATGTATTTGTAATTTCAAATTTAATTCAGCATTTTCTAAGTTGTTCACAGATACGCAGAGTGGCAAAAAATTTGAGTTGCCAGCACACACATTTCCAGCTGAGGTCAAACAAGGCAGCGCTCTGCCTTGATTCAGTTTTCATACTATAAACAAGTGTCCTTTTCACGATCTTTTTAATGCCATGTTTCACATTTGTATGCTTTGAGTTGGAGATTTCGCTTTTAAAAATCGTTCCTACATGTTGTACTGAAGAGTTGTCTAATGTTTTTAAGTGATGTACCTTACAGAAAAAATATGTACATATGTTAGAGGAGCTTCCGTAGGCATGAGTTCTAGTGCTCTTGGCTATGAGTTCAGGGCTAATGGATCAACAATATATATTAAATAAGGTGTCTTTGAACAGAAACACATAAAACAGGGTTATATATTGATCAGTTGACAAAAATGTTTTGACCAGAGGCTCGCAGGAACCTAACTTGGTATTTCCTCTAGGAGCAATGATTCGGTGCATGCTAATTCATTGTTCATGCTTACTTTATAGAACACACAAACCACAAATAACATGAACAGACTATACTCTGCATACTCTTTACCAGGTATCTTTCACTCAGCAGAATTATTTTGAGATTAATCATGTTGTAGCATGTATCAGTAGTTTATTCCTTTTATTGCCAAGGAGTATTCCAGTATATGGATAGGTCATTCTTGACTCATTTACTTGATGGATATTTGGATTATTTCTGGGTTTTGGCTATTATAAATAAAGCTGCAATGAATATTCATGTACATGCCTTTATATGGCAGATGTGGGCCTGCAGTTTCCTATATGAGAAGGTTTTTAACAACAGATTAAATTTCTTTAATAGTTAGGGTTATTCGGGTTCTCTCTTTATTAGTTTCTTCTACTTAAAGTTCCATTTGGTTTTTTCTAGTTTCTCACAATAGAAGTGGAGGTCATTAATTGGAGACCATGCTTCTTTTCTAATAGCTATTTGGTGCTATAAATTTCCCTCTTTATCTCTGTACCACAAATTTTGACTGTTTTCATTGTCTTCCAGTTCCAGATACTTTGAAATTTCCCTCTTGATTTCTTCTTTGATCCACAAGTTATTTAGATGTGTGTTATATAGTTTCCAAATATTCTGGGATTTTGCAGATATATTTTTCTTATTGATTTCTAATTTCATTCCATGTGGACAGGGAACATACTTTGTATAACTTGAATCTTTTAAAATTCACTGAAGCTTGTTTATGATACCAGATATGGTCTATCATGGTAAATATTTCATGTACACTTAAAAAAAATGTATATGTTTGCTTTGTTGGGTGGAGTAATCTATAACAACTAGGTCAAATTGGTTGATAGTGTTGTCTAATTCTTCTATGTCCTTACTGATTTTATGTTTACTTGTTCTATCAGTTATTGGTAAAGGATTATTGAAATCACTTATAGTTGCAGATTTGTCTATATCTTGCAGTTCTGTCAAGTTTTGCATCATTTATTTGAAGCTAAATAAATATTTATGATTGATCAATATGTCTTCTTGAAGAATTGACTCTTTTATCTTTATGAAATGACCCCTCTTTGTGCCTGATGATACTCTTTGCTCTGAAATCTACTTTATCTAATAGTCACTTCAGCTTTCTTTTGATTAGTTAGCATAGTGTATATTGTTCATCCTTTTATGTTTAAACTATTGGTACCTATATTTAAAGTGAGTTCCTGGTAGGCAGTGCAGAGTTGAGTTTTTTTTAAATCTAACCTGACAATTTCTGCTTTTTAATTGGGTTGTTTAGACTATTTACATGTAATGCAATTATTGATACATTTGGATTTTAGTCTATCATCTTGCTTTTGATTTCAATTTGTCCTACCTGCTCACTGTTATTTCTTTTACTCTTTTTCTCCTTTCTTTTGGATTTATTAAATATTTTTTATGCTTCCATTTTACCTCCTTTATTGGCTTGTTAGCTATAACTCTTTATTGCGTTATTTTAATGGCTGCTTAGGGTTTATAGTATGCACCTTTAACTTATCATAGGCTACCTTTAAATTTTATACTACTTATATTGTATAAGAACCTTACAATAACGTATTTTCACTTCTCCCTGCCTGCCTTTGTACTGTTGTTGCCAAACGTTGTACTTGTTCTATACATTATAAACTTTCTGCTTTAAACATGTGATTGTTTTTTACGAGATTTTACTAAGGGGAAAAAATTGATATCTAGCCATGTAGTTACCTTTTCCAGAGCTTATCATTCCTTTTTGTAGATGTAAGTTTCCGTCTAGTATCATTTTTCTTGGGTTGGTGGACTTTATAGAGCAGGTCTGCCTATAATGAATTCTTCCAGTTACTAATGTCTAAAAATGTCTTTATTTCACCTTTGTTTTTGAAAGATATTTTAGCTTTGTAAAAAGATTCTAGGTTGGAGGGTTTTTCTTTCAGCACTTTGAAGAAGTTGCTCCACTGTCTTCCAGCTTGCATTGTTTCTTGTCTTTTTTCTTTTTTATAGCTTGCATTGTTTCTGACAGGAAATTTACTGTTGTCCTGTTTCTCTGTATGCAATATTTCCTTTTTCTCTGGTTGCTTTTAAGATATTCTTTATGACTGGTTTTAAGCAATTTGATTATGTGTGCCTTGGTATACTTATCTTCATGTGTCTTGTACTTGGGTTTGTTAAGACTCTTTGGACCTATAGATTTAAAGTTTTCATCAAATTTGGCAAATTTTCAGCCATTATTTCTTTGACTATTTTTTCTGTCTCCTCCTCTCCTGTCTTTTGGAGTCTCCAGAGATGTTTATATTTGGCTGCTTGAAGTTGTCCCACAGTTCACTGTCATTTTGTTTATTTCTTTCCATCTCTTTTCTCTCTGTGTTTAATTTGGATGGTTTCTGTTGCTTTGTGTTCAAGTTCACTAATTTTTTCTGCAACATCTAATTTTCCATTAATCCCATTCACTATTATTTTCATCTCCAACATTGTCATTTTTATCACTAGAAATTTGACTTGGGCCTTCATGTTTTCAATGTTCTGTCTCTCCTTTACTTCTCATGTTCAGTCTTTCCTCCAATTTTTTGAATTTATGGAATACAATTATAATAACTGTTTAACGTGGTTGTCTACTAAGTCTATCAGATATACCAAGTCTATCAGATATAGACTTAGTAGACACATTTAAGTCCATTTTAATTGATTTTTATCATCACTGTAGGTTATATTTCTTTGCTTCTTTGTGTACCTGGTAATTTTTAATTATATGCCAGACACTGAGAATTATATATTGTTAGATGCTAGATTGTTCTGTATTCCTAAAAATGTTCTTGAACTTTGTTCTTGGATACATTGAAGTTACTTAAACAGTGATCCTTTCAGGTCTTGCTTTTAAGCTTTGGTAAGCAGGATCCTATCAACATTTAGTCTTAAGGACATTGTCCCCACTATTGAAACACATTCTTTTTAATACTCTAACCAGTGATGCATAAATTATGAGACTTTTCCACTCTGATTATTGGCACCAAGCACCATTCCCAGCCCTGTATGAGCTGCAGACAGCAGTCCTTCTGCTCCTTTTGAGTTGTTCTTTCCCCCTGGCCTTGGGTGGTTTTCTCATTTGTGTGAGTACTCTACTGAATACTCCTTCTGCTGATCTCCAGCATTCTCTTTCTATATGGCTCTGCTCTCCAATATTTTGACATACAGACTTTAGCTGCCTTGGCTTTCCTGGCCTCCCAGCTCCATCCTCAACTTGGAGAGGCTTCCAGGCTCCCTGTAGGTCCCTCTCTCTGCATCACAACCTGGAAACACTCTTCAGGCAGTAAACTGGGGCAATCATGGAGCTCACCTCACTTGATTCCTGTCTCTAAAGGATCATTGTCTTTCACGTCCTTCTGTTCAGTGTCTTCAGAGCCATTGTTTTATGTATTTTGTCCAGTGTTTTGTTTCAGGATGGAGGTGAATTACAATCCCTGTTGCTCTTTTAACCCATTCTCTTTTCTTTGAGTCTGTAATTTCTGATTTTCTAAAAAGAACATTTATTGGTTTTTTTGTTATAAGAAATAGAAAGCCATAAAGGTGATTTTCTTTTTCAATTTTTGTGTGTTCTAGAGAATGTAAGTGTAGCCGGACCTTTCAGTCTATTTAACCAGTCATATTAAAATGTGCATGCTTTGAGCTTAGAAAAAAATAGCACAGATAAACAGGGTAGGAATAACTGTGTGAGCAACAGGGACTATTTCTATATAGAAATATAGGCCTAGTTCTATGTAGAAATTCTGTCCCGACTTCATATAGGCTGCTTTAAGCATAAAATGGTCCTTTAAGGCCCAGCCTTTTATAATCCTCGCTGTTCTGCAATATTTCAACCACGAGGTTTCTGCTCACCTTATTCCATTTCTTATGCAGCCTCCCTATATAAGAAATAATAAAGCGATAGAAAATAGAAATTCTTCTACTCATTGCCCTAGAGCTATGGCATAAGGGGCTGATCTCAACGTTAAAAATCTCAAAATATGCATGTTGGGCTGAGCATAGCTGGGTTTTCATTTGATACAGTGCCCAAGGAAAGTATCTAAAATGTCAGGGCCATTCTTATTTGGGATGAAGAATATCTTCCTCTACTTTTGTTGCAATTAGATAATTTTAGAATATATATGGATTCAGTCTCACTTTATAGTCATCCACTAACTTAAAAAAAAAATCTACATCGAAAGAAATTGGGCTTTGAGATGGGCTTATAAAATTCCTTTGAATGTGTTAGTTTTTAATTTATAGGGTAGCTCCATTACAGTTATAGGCTCGCATAGCCATATCTTAAAAAGGGTAAAATTGCCCGGAATTATAGCTGTAATAACAACACTGTAAAATCTCTCGTTTATTTAGATGAAGAACTAGTGGATGTTTCTACATCTGTGTTACCAGAATTGAAAAGAGAAACATATAGCAAAGTTCAAGTCTGTGCAAAACAGAAGCTGGCCCGACATGGTTCTTTTAACACAGTTCAGGCTTCTGAGAGGATTCACAGGAATGTGAACTCAGAACCCAGCAGCCCTGCCAGAGAGGAACAAGGTATATATCTGCCTTTGCATAATCCATGGAATCCATCAATCCATGTCATTGTAGCCTTACCCGTGCATTGACACTTTAAATGGAGCTGACTCTACCCCCTGCCTGTTTTTTCATTTACCTGAAGTGAAACAGTTACTGGGGGTAGAAGAGTTGGTAACTTCACGGGGTATGAACGTGGCCCCATTTCTTGACATTGATCCTAGTCAGCCTTGAAGGTCAATTAGCTTGCCTTGGTTGGCCTGTTTGATGCATCTCAAAAATTCATTCAGCGTACAAAGCAACACTTGTTTTGTTTTTTTCTTACCAATTCTCAATGAGACCTGAATTTGCCATTAACAGATAGCTTCTGAAAATTTCTTTGAATCAAAACCAGAGTGGATTTGAGATGGTCTTATTATCCCTGAGCTGTGAATAATGAGTCCTGCTGTATATAATTGGTATGTATAAGTCTCTTGCTATATTTGTTAGACCTTTATTTTCCTTTATAGGACCAGGTGGCTTCTTAGAAATTGGAAGTCTGGCAGCTATTTACCAACAGAAAACAGAAGACAATTCACAGTAAGTAGTAGTCTTTGAAAAACTCCAGGTGTATTCTTTACTATTTCTGAGTGTTAACTTTGACTAAGTTGAAATGCCACCCATCAAAAGGTAAATTTAAGTTTGTTAGCTTTCCCATTGTGCAAAACACTGTTCAGGGTGTAGCATCAGGGACACAAAAGTACAAAAAATTTAACCCCTAAACTGAAGCATATAGGGGGGGAAAAATAAAACACATTGAAAAAAGATAAATCACTACTAGTGTGACACTGAGAAATGATGCATCATAGTTCGTGAGTCCCTTTGTCATCATTGTAACATGTCTACAAGGTACTGTTCAAAAGTTCTATGTATATTAACTCATCTAATCACAGCAGTCTTTGGAAGTTGGTACTGTTATCTTCATTTTACAGAAATCACATATCACCAAAGGAGGCAGGGGAAATGCTAAAGAAGACAAGTTTTTAACAATAGAAGTGGGAAGGGTCATGGAGTTGGGGGATAATAAGCTGATTATCAATAACAATTTATCCAAATAGGATAGTAAAAGGAAATCTCATTCAGAAGAAAAGCTTGGGGTGTTGGAGGTAAACAGGTCAAGTTGGCAAAAAGCTTTGAAGCCCAGGTAGAGGAGTTTGTATTTATGAGACCAACAGTACAGAATTGTTCCACATTCACTGGGGAAGACCATTTTGGCTGCTTTCTACAGGTGGGACTGAAAGTAGAGAAGGCTCTCCAGGTGAGCGTATCGCAGAGCAGAACATGTGCAGTCATTCTGGTCTGTGGTGCAGGCCTGAGCCAGGTCAGCCGGAGATGGAAAGCAGTGTAAGATGGTGAGTCAGCAAGACCTAAGACCTACCAGAGTAGAAAGTCATCACAAAGAAGTCATCACCTGGGTCTCGGGTGATGGTGATAGTGGTGAAGGTGGAGAGTTGACGGTAGATGGCTGGAGGTAGGACTCTGGACACATTGAGTTTCACAGAGCTGAGTAATTGGGATGACTTAGAGGGGACTGTGGCTGAGAGGTTACTCATCTCTAGCCCAGTGCACTCAGGGTTATTCCCAGCAGCACAGTGGACAATGAGATGTGGGCAATATAGGTCTCAGCCAGCGATTCCATCAGAAAGGTTTCGAGAAATCCCTGTCCCCTGTTTACTGGTTCCAAAAGGAGTCTTAAAAGGAGTTTCCTCATCTATTTCCACAAATATACTGAACACATAAACATGTTTCAATATTTGAAAATTTTTCTGTATAAAAAGCCAGACATTTTTTATAATCTCACATATTGATGAGCCTTAATTTTGAATGTGTGTTGCCTAAAAATTCTATAGTAATATTGAGCAGAATGGGACAATTTTGTAGCTAAGTTTATTTCTTACTCACTGCCCACTTCCTTTATCTCACAGTGGATTTGAGACAAATGAGATGTGTCCTTGAAATCAAAGTCTGGTCCTGTCTCTTATGCACCCAGGATCTCTCACAGTGACAGTGTGAGGCCCAGCTGGGTGACCTTCAGCAGGTTGTTTAGTCTCTGAACCTCAGTGTTGCTCCCTAGTAAACAGGGGGAATAAGAGTGGCTATCAATATAGTGATTATGTTAATTATTATAATATTATGCTAATTATTGTAGTATCTGTGTGCCTGGTAAGGGGTACATGCTGGGTAACTGATAACAGATGTGGAAGCGGCAGGTGAGGAGCCAGTATTCGCTCTAACCTGAGATCCGCCCAGAGCAACTCCCACGGCAGCTCCCCCGTCCCTAACTGTCCATCCTGGTTATACCTGGTTGTCCGTCTCTGTGGTTAGGTTAGCTAGTGTGTGTTCAGGGGATACACTTTAACATCAGCCTGGGCAGTACAGTCTCACTCCTGCTTTGGTACGTCTCCAGAAAAGCAGTCAGGAGGTGGTAGACTGTGCTAAATAACTCAGTGGTTCCCGCTTTGTCTCTTTATTACAGGGGGAAACCCTCTGAGAGTAAGAGAGCGATGCTTCCCTCGAGCAGCCTGGGTGCCGCCGCTCCCTTCCCTGTCCACCCTGTGGACTCCGAGTGCTGTGTTAACCCTTCAGCCCACCAGGCCTTGTCCGTGCCTCAGATGGACTTGCAGGCCTTCTCCATACAGAATGGCCTGAACGGACAAGTGGGTTTCTCTCTCGCTTCCGGGGCCTCAGATGTGGAGAGCCTGAAGCCAGCCCTGCTGGCCGGCCAACCCTTGTTGTACGTGCCCTCCACCTCTCTGTTCATGCTCTATGGGAGCCTGCAGGAGGGACCGTCCCCAGGGCCCGGGTCCGAGATGGACAGCAGAAGCTCAGAGGTCCCGGCAGCAGCAGAGCGCTCAGCCACACCTGCAGCCCAGAAGCGCCTCAGTGAGGAGGGGACGCCGCAGCAGGAGGAGCCGGCCGCCAAAAGACAAGCCAGGGACCACGAAGACGGCCCTCTAGCTCTTGTCATGCCCAAGGTAAGGGAGCCCGGGTGGACGTGTTTAGTGATGTCCCGTTAACCGAGAGCTTCTTCCTAATAAGGCCACACAGATGTTAATAAGCTACTGAGTCTAGAATGTGAGGTGTTTCATATGTCACTTGTATAATTAAGCCCTGAACTAGCTTTCCCAAAAAATCTTACCATAAAATAGTACTGTAAGTAAAGTGGTTTTTAGAAAAGTCACACTTCATATAAAATGATAAGTTTAAAGGGAAAAAACCTACCCATAGTGCCACCACATAGAGGCAATCGCTTTTAACATGCTTGTAGAGTCCCTCCCAGTCTTTTTGCCATACTTCTGTTTTAAATATGTTGAGATCCCTGAAATAATTTTAATCCAGGACACAGCCAAGTTCCAGAGTCAGGAATGTAGATGCTGTTTGACTTTCAGAGTCTGCTTGGTCAGTTTTCGTCTCTGCTCAGAGAGCCTGTTTCCCTGGCCACAAAATGAACAAAAACATGAGCTGCCCATGTCTCCCGCTTAGTAGCCACTCAGAGGTCACTGTGACGTGACCAGGGAAACTCAGAAAGCAGGAACACTGTCATTAACAGTGGGTTGTGTGGATCAGCCAGGCACACTTCATGGGAACTGGTTCATTAATTAATACCTTTTCCCCTGCCAGAGTGACTTTTGCTAAGTGTGTATATAGCTCTGTTGTAGAACAGAACTGAAAGATGACTGGTATATGCCTTAGGTGACCAAGACGGCTTTGGGCCTCCCTGCAGTTTTTATCAGGCCCCTAAAAGACTGTGGTATTGGCACCCTTTCTGTGTTAGCAGCTCAGAAATTCATTTCACAGTCTGAACACCATGGCCAGTTTTCTATTGTTACCTAACCTGTGATAATTTCTATGCTCGAGATGTGACATTGATTTTTCAGGTCACTCCTGTAAAATGACTGAGACAACTGACATAAACACATCCCTGTGGTGCACAGCTGTGTTTGACCTTTCTGCTTATATGTTAGCTTTTTTGATTAAGCTGTTATTTTAATATTTGCTACTGGGATTTTGACTTGCTTCTCTCATTCCTGGTTTGGTTGTGCTTAGAAATCCTCAGATTGCAGAGACATTGCCTCTCCCAAGATGCTGGGTACGAGAGGGTCTGTGCCCCTTGAAGACATGCACGTGAATAGCCAGCTCCCTACTGCAAAGGAAGTTTGGGGAAAGGCTACAGCAAACAGCTTCATTTCTGCTGACTGGGGGAATCTTTCCAGAAATGCAGAGATTGAAAAGCCCTCCAAGGAAAATGAAGGCACCAAGGAGCCCTCTTTGCTGCAATGTCTTTATGTACAGTCACCGGCCGGTAAGGGATGTCATCATGTCTTAAAGTCCCTTGGGGTAGTCTGATCATCTGATGGATTTTTAAATCTTGGTCTGGGTCACCTGACCAAAGCGGTTCATTGATGAGCCTCTGAGTCATTTTACTCTTAGCGCTCTGGTTTCCTCCATTGAGGAAAGGAAGGGAGAGGCTACTTTATACTTTCACCATCCTCGAGGATAACGGGAAAATAATTATGGCAGGTGATTTTTTAAAAAAAAAAATGCATTAAACTTTATTTGCTAAAACACTACGGATTCAAAAAATGATTCTATTTTTGTAATTCAGCTGGGGTTAGCATCGGTTCGGTGTGGCACTATGAACCAGTCGGCCACTTTGTGCACCTAGAATGCTGATCTCCGGAATGTCCGGGAGGACTGAGCATGTGACTGGGCCAGGGCCAGGGCTGCAGCACTTGTTAGCTTTGTGAACTTAAGACCATCCTCGTTGGTAAAAGAGCAGTAATCATAGCACCTGCTTCATGGCGGGGAGGGTGTGCTGTGAAAATTAAATTAAAGTTAATAAGATAATACATCTAAAGCATTTAGAATAACAGTGCCTAACTCTTAGTAGGACTCGATAAATTCTCTTACTATTTTGAAATAAAGCTGAAATGTAATAGATACCTAACTTACAAGATATATACCAGGTACATGAAGCTGCTCTTGATGCAAAGAGACTTAAATTGATTTTCCTCAATTCCTTGTCTGCTTTACAGGCTAGGTGGGTATTGGTTATTATTCACCCCTCTAGAAAACATCCTTTATTCTTTCAGCAAATATTTTTTGAGAATTTAAGCATGATAGTGTTACGGATGCACTGAACAAAAAACAGACTCAGCCCCTGCTGAATACAAACGACAGCCCAGCACAAGGATCGTTAGCTTTTTCGGGGCCATGGACCCCTTGCCACTGTGGTGCAGCCCGTGGATTCCTCCTTAGTACATTTACAAATGCAGAGAGCACAGGAATTACAAAGGAAGCCAATTATATTGAAATCCAGTTAGAAAAATGGTTTTTTAAAAATATAGTAATGAAAAGATGTGACAAAAAAATCCAACACTCTCGTAATTTCAGAGTTGTGATGAGCCTAACAGTCTATTCAGCAATCTGCCATAGCTATAATGTTCTATGAATATACCTTTGCTTTTTTCTAGTGACAAAGTCAAAGTACTGTTAATACTGTTGTGATGTATTGCCTGTGGTCTTAACTGAGGGAAATATAAGTTTCAGTTAGAAGTTCGTAGAAGTAAAGATACAGTTTTTCCCATCCAAACTCATGTTCCTCCTCCATTTGTATTCAGTGGCCCTCACATTTAAAAACCCTCTCAGGAGACACAGGCCTCCACCAGATTCTCACACAGGAATATGGGGGATTTCTGCTGCGAAGAAGCGGTGCAGGACTGGGAGAGGACAGAGGGGGGTTGACCGCTTAGGTGGGGATGGTTCACTGTGGGCTCCCATTTGCAAGGGCCCTGAGGAGTGCGAGCTTGAGTGGTATCTTCATGTTGTGCTGACTTTTGCCTTGTTCTGTTTCTGTTTCAGGATTAAATGGTCTGAGCGTGCTCTTGCCTGGCAATCAGACTCCTCATGCTATGGGACCACCTTCGGGTCAGCTGCCCTCCCTTGGTGTCCCTTGCATGGTCCTACCATCTTCAACACTGGGCCCGTTTCCTGTTCTCTACTCTCCCACAATGGCTGGGCCGGTTTCCCCTGCTCCTGGCACTGTCCCAAACTCGGGACCTGTGAATTTCAGCTTGCCAGGCCTCAGATCCACGCCTCATCTTCTCATCGGCCCTGCAGCCATGGTGAATCCAAACTCCTCAACACTCCCTTCTGCAGACCCTCCGCTCCAGGGTCCACACTCACTTAACCAGAGTCCTGTGGTGTCCAGATCCCATGTCATCCAGCCCGAATCCCCGGTTTATGAGGGACATCCTGTCTCTGTGGTAAAACTAGAGCAGGTGAGTCCTGAAATTTCCTTTTAGTTTGGCACAAGAGGGCTCATCCCTCTTGGACAGGTGTGTGCGCACTGAATTACCGTTGGTTTTAGTCACCTGACTGTAGGACAGTGGCTCCGGTCAGGTTCTCCCAGTCTCCATTACAGACCCAGAGTCACCTGCTTATTTTATGAAGCACCAAGGCCTAAAGCAGGAGAACATGCTTTAAAGATAAAAATGTTTTTTAGTTTTATTAAATTAAAGGAATTTATTTTAGGCTTAGTTCAGATAAATTTTTGACCAATGCTGAATATTCAGATTCTCCAAGCTTTCAGTCCGTTAGGTCCATAAAGGAGACCACCCTGAATTTTAATTGTACAGGTAAAGAAACAAGGGAAGCGGAAGTCTTGATACCGATGTAAAGATTTTTAGCATCTGTCATTTCTTAAAATGCATTGTATAGGAGTTGGTGGATAAATATATATACACACACACATCTATATACACACACTCATAAAGTATGTGTAAATGTACACATATAAATGTATATGATCAATATAAATTTTTCAGTACTGTTTTCCCCCCCAAACTCCATTTATATTTCAGTCCATAAGTACTTGTTGAATTCCTGTCATGCATTAAGCATTGTTCAGAGTGATTACTTTCTCTCCCAAAGAAGGAGTTATGTTGCAGTCAAAACTGTTTTAAACAGATTATTCAGAGCCTAAGAAGTTTGGTAGACGTTGAAATAAACATGTTAGTTTTTAAACAAGGTGATTATAACTTAACATATGCTTTTTGATCACCAATTGTGTGCCAGGCACTGACCTAGGCAGTGACGATATAACAGTAAACAGGATAATAGTCCCTGCCCTTTTAGAGCACGATAAGTGGATAAATACTTAACAGTTAACAGGAGAGGGTAAATATTAGTAAACAAAAAGAGCCAAGACACATATACTTACTATTTGCCTAGCATGCTCTAAAGTGCTTTATCAGTATTATATTGCTCAGTTTTTACAACCCTCTGAAGTCAGTACTTTTGTCATCCCCATTGTATGGATGAAGAAACTGAGGGACATACTGGTTAAGTCTTTTGCCCAAGATCATAAAGCTAATCATGGCAGAGCCCAGACCCTGGCTGTGGATGCCCTGCTTATAAACTCTTTGCTCGGCTGCCTTTCTGCATACAAAATAAATAAGTTAATTCCCAATTTTGATACGTGTTGAGATAAATCAGATGAATGTGATAGAAAAGCACAGAGGTGGGAACACCTGCCCAGGAATCATAATGACACAGGGCAGGGCTTCCAGTTCAGAGACTGAGAACAATTTGCCTTCACTTCTGCTTTTCTTTACTCTTCTTATTCTTTTGTAGTCACCAACTCCAGCGACCCCCAAGAGCACCCGACACACACATCGGGAGACATTCTTCAAGACGCCTGGCAGCCTTGGAGACCGTGTCCTTAGGAAAAGAGAGAGCAAGCAGTCCCAAAACGCCAGCTCAGCGCAGAGGAGACTCGAAATACCCAGCAGCGGGGCCGACTAACTTGGCACTCTGCCGGGGGCGGGGTCAGGCCACCTGACTGTCCCTGTGTCCCAGGCCATGTTCTAGACCTGGAGCGGAAGCAGAATGCACACTTCACGCCTCCTTCCTCTTCCATCCACTGTCCTAATGTTATCTCCCCATCACCGTCTGTTTTCCTGAAAGTATTGGTATTAACTGTGCATTTATTACCAGTGAGAGTCCAGACTCTGTGCCTGGTGTTGCAGTGAAAGCACAAGCTGACTTGTGGTTTTGCTCCGAGAATTGTCTTATTGCTGGAAGTAGATCTGAACGGGCTACTGGAGCCTTGTGGGTTTCCTAGCGGTGGGGCCTGTCTAGCACTTAACCAGGGTGAGCATTCTTGACGTGTATTCCCACTCACCCTGAGTGATCTGTGGTGAGAGAACCTTCCTTCCTGCAGTTTAAAAAAGCTACTGCTTCTTTAGGCTTCATCAGGAAGACAGCTTCAGCTGTGAATCCTACGGTGTTATTTATTTTGTTCCTGAAATGGGACTTAGTGCAAAAAGTTTACAAGTACAGCAACACATGCTTTTCAGGGTATGACTACTTGAATGTTTGTACTTTTTTCCTGTAATTTGCCCTGCACTTACTTTACAACCTAGTGATAATGTGGATAATTTTGGTACACATGACAGAATGTCAAGACCAAAATAACTGTGAATGGCACACCTCACTACAATGAACTGTGCTAAATAACCCTGTCTGGGCATGAGAACTCAGATGAACTCCAGCAGCCTGATCGCTGGTTCTCAGTAACTGGAAAAAAACCCTACCATGTTCACTTTCCTTCACTACATGCCCCTGTGGGTGGGTTTTTTTTTAATTTAAATGTTAACTGTAGAGTATCAGGTATGGATTCCTTCTAACAATTGCTGTTTATTGAATAAATCAGGATAGTGGAAAGTAATTGTATGGAAAATTGGAACCTGAGTGGGATCTTTTGTCAGAATTTTGAAGAGCTAATGTAGACATTGATAATAGGACAGTAGGTGATTCTTTTTTATTTTACTTTTTTCCTTCAATTTGGGAGGGTAAGAGGAAAGTGGACACATGATAAGTATCTAAGAGTATTCAAATCAGTTATTTTTCAGAGGACTGAAAAGCAGGCTCGGTGAACACAGGGGCTTATTGTTTTAGCGTGACTGCAATTCTGGAAACTGTTAGGCAGTATCCCTTTGTCAACCATATTACTTCAGGGTTTCAGTAAATAGCCAAACTAGATCTTTGTACCCCTAGATTTATTGATACTTACCTCGCTCTTGTCTCCTCAGAATAAATGTCTCCCTCCCTTCCTGCTTTCCTTCCCTCCTTCCTTTCTTTATTCCTTTCTCTTTTTAAAAATTTCTATCTTAGATTTGGAATCTTGCTGTAGGTTTTTATTTTTATTTTTGGACCCAATAAAATGTTCTATGAAAGAATAAAAATATTAATTTAAGAGACTCTGGGAGTCTGCATAAAGTAGCTTTATATCAACTACAGGATAATATTAGTCAGACTAAGTAAATTTGCTACTATATAAAATTGTTATTAACACTAAACTTTTAAAGTTTACAAGATGCTATTTTTCTCCCTTTTTTACAACCTTCTCTAGAGTTGAACAGGTAAAGGTGTTCAGTCATCAACAATTGCATGGTAATGATTACCTTAAATGAATATTATGGGTTCCCTCTCGGAACAAATAAAAGTAGTCCCTTTTCAGGAATCCTGGCGTATAAACCTGCACAGGGCGCTGCAGTTTAGATCTGCCGTACTCTAGACTCCCCAAAATATGTTCACTCGAGAGGTCTATACTTAAAACAAAAACTGATGTTCTCCTTGCTATCCTTAGATGTTCTTCACTTTAACTTTCCTTTTTTAAAAAGTCTTTTCATGATGTGACCACATAAACCTCAGAGAATTCACGGTTCTTGAGGGGTGTTAGGAAGCAGCCCCATAAATGAAAATATCATGACTCCGCAACTATGCTTAGCAACAGAAAATGAACAAGTTCCTTTTGTATTCAGTACTCACTTAATGTGGCTGTGTGATATGTGAAAATAATAATAACGGATCTGCTTCTTACAGAGCAACCGATGGCAATGTAGCTGCTGAGCTAGACTTGGGTGTTTGGGGCAGTGGCACAGCAGTGGCAATCTTGAGTCTATCATTGTATAATTTACTAAGAGAAAAAAATAATCATTGGTAATCCTGCTAAGGAGCTGCAGCTCCGAGTTGGCACTGAGGAGGGTGCGTGCCCTACCCTGTCCAGGGTTTGTGAAACCCTTTCATTCTGGTACAAGAGTTGGGGGTATAACTTTTATACTTGAATCTACCTACCAAGTTTACATTTCTCAATGCTTTTCGTAAGGTGCTACTTCTATATTTAAATAACTTTTTCTTTCCCTGTAAAGCTGCTTTCTGCTTATCCTATTGCACTGCTAGTTTTATGTAGGTGTTAATTTTATTGCTGCTTACTGCTTTTGTTTTCATCTTTTTTTTCTAATGGCTATATTATCTATAGCTGTTTACTTGTACCTTTACTACATGTAAACTGATTCCTTTTTTTTAGAAAAATATTAAGCTTTATAAAACAGCAATAAAAATGAAGAGATGTTGGTTATGTTTGTTGAACTTTTTGTGTGTGCCGTTTTCAGGAAAACCACGAACAGCTGCAGGATAGCCAACAGGCCCTCATAAACCCAAGTCAGATCTTTTTGCTGAGACCTTCTGGTGGTTCCCAAACATCAAAACTTGCTGTATCAGAATTACATGGGAGCTTGGGAGGGTGGAAGGACGGTGCTGCTAAGCTTCGGAATTCTGTTGGAATCTCTGGAGGTTTGGAGCTTCCAGATGATTCAAATGCTTATGCAATATAAGAATCACAGGTGAGTGCAGACCACCTCCCCAGCATCTCATGATATCTGCAAGGTTAAATGCTTCTCAGTCCAGCAGGTGCCCACCTTTAGTTCAAAGCCAAATTACATTGATAACCCTCACTTTTAAATGAACTTCCAAGCAGACTTAATCTGACTTACACTAGCTCATTATATGTCCAGAGTTAATTATGTGCATTGTCAATCTCCCCTGCTAGGTTGTGAGGTGCTAGGGAAAAGAACAGCTTTGGAATCCCAATATGAAGTCCGGTGCTTCTACCCAGTAGAAGCCCCCAAAATTGTGAACAGAGGAACTACAGGACCCCACAACAGGGCTTGCCCCTTTGCCAGTGTTCAGTTAGATTCAGCTTATTTTACTGTGACCTCTTCTAGCATGTCACTTCTTGCCCCGGTTCCTAGTCTCACAAGACATAAAATAAACCAGGGTCAATTTGTTCTACACAGCACCAGGTTTAGGATTTTACTGGCATATATTTAGTGGCAGATGACATTACGACAGGATATTGTGTAATTCATTTGCCAATATATATGCCCCATCTTGGTTGTCTTTAATGGTGTAAACCGTGCATTGAACAGTCAGGACTTGGAGTAATCATGAAAGCAGCTCTGACTTGTCTCCCAAGTCTTTAAACCTCGTCACTGGGGTAACCCACTTGCCCTTGTATGAACATTAGGTTAGGTGCTATGACTTATCTGGTTACCGCAAGTAATAGAAGTTCTATAGTGATTTCAATCTACAAAGACAGTCTCAATTCATTATGTGGGAGGAGTACATATTTAAAACCGCACCTGAGACTCAGTTACACTAGAGGAGGGCACAGTCCTTTGTATGCTGAGCATTTCTCCTTCCTCAGCGTGCTTGCCTAGATTTCTAGCCCCAGCGAGGGCAGGATTAGAACAGTCCCAGGCTAGCACTACCATCAGCCCACATCGGTGCCCTGTGCCTTGATTCTTGGAGTAGAGGCGCAGCCAAACTCAGCAGCCTCTTCGTCCCTTCGGTGCCAAAGCTGCTGGCACCCCCGCACCCCCTAGGTGCCCCGGGCCAGAGTCACACCGGAGCACGCTCCATTTGCAGGAGGGGCGGGAGGCAGCCAACACCCACACCTCCCGGCAGTGGCTCTAAGGAGGCAGGGGTACAGCGCCACAGCATAAGCCTCAAGAGCAGTCTCCACAAAATTCATTCCTTTTTCCATTTGCTCAAACCTTTCAAGGCCTGGGGGTGAAGGGATTCAACAGTTGTGTAACGGTTTGCAAAACCCTGTATCAACTCTTTGGAATGCAGCTTTTACTGCTATCTTGTGCTGCAGCCGAGCTCCCCATTTCACACCCTGTTACAACAGTTACACACTAACTGTCCAAGATTTGTATTCTAGATGATTGTTATGGCACTTTATAGCTCATCTTTATAAATTTTGGTAGCTGTTAATTTATTATTAGTGTTAAAATTCCTTTGATACAATGTTTTTTCTGACCTGAAAATGCTTTTGAAATTATACCTAAAACTGAAATAGTTTTCTTCATTTTATTCTCATATCTAAATCCTCTTTTGGAAATGGCCCACTGGTAGTCTCTCTTCAATATGATTGCCTCTCCTATACACACACCCAGTCTCCTCAATCATGCCCAGAAAATCTCAAAAGTGGATAATCCTGGTAAGACAAAGTTAAGCAGGGGGAATATATATACAAAATAAATTTAACTGGTTTGATAGCGAGTGGGTTTTTTTTCTTAGAGCGTCTTACAAGGTTCTGCAGAAGGTACCATGAGAAACAATGAATTAATCCACTAAACAACCCTCTACAACATTTTAGTTTTCACTGAAAAGGAATCAATATTAGCTTCTTAAGGGCAGAGACCATAGATGATTTATATCTGTATTCACAATTCCCACAAAATGTACATCCACCAAAGTCATCCTTAGTCATTTACTCAATCAACAAACATTTACTGTTACTATTATTTTTACTATGCAAGTGGAAGTAATCTTGGGGGCAGGGGGGAGCATTCCACTTTCTGTCTCTTTAATAATAGTAGGGAATTACAGAAATGTGGTTCCCAAAGGAACCTTGAAAGTCATCTTACTCACTGCATTGCATGCTCTTGCCTCCTTTGTCAAATATTAACTGACCGTAAAGGTGTGGGTTGATTTCTGGGCTCTCTGTTCTGTTCCATTGATCTATATGCCTGTTCTTATGCCAGTGCCAGGAGGTTTTGATTACTGTGGCCTTGTAGTACAGTTTGATATCAGGTATTATGATACCTCCAACTTTGTTCTTTCTTAAGATTGCTGAGGCTATTGGGGTCTTTTTTGGTTCCACAAATATTTTTGGAATATTTATTCTAGATCTATGAACCATACCATTGATATTTTAATAGGAATTGAGTTGAATATATAGATTGCTTTGGATAGTATGGACATTTCAATGATGTTAATCTTCCAATCCATGAACACAATATATGTTTCCACTTGTATACAATGGGGTAAAGACAGTCTCTTCAATAAATGGTGTTGGGAAAATTGGACAGGTACATGCAAAAAAAGAAAGAAACTAGACTACCAACTTACACCATACACAAGAATAAACTCAAAGTAGATAAAAGACTTAAATGTAAGTTGTGAAACCATAAACATCCTAGAAGAAAACATAGTAAAATCTCGGGCATCTCACGTAGCAGTATTTTCACCATCCATAGCCTAGAGCAAGGGAAACAAAGGAAAAAATAAACAAATGGGAGTACATCAACCTAAAAAGCTTCTGCACAGCAAAAGACACCATCAACAAAATGAAAAGGGAGCCCACTGTATGGGAGAACATATTTGCCAATGATACATCTGATAAGGAGTTAATATCCAAAATATATAAGGAACTCATACAACTCAACAAAAGGAAGACAAACAATCCAATTAAAAAATGGACAAAGGACTGAACACTTTTCCAAAGAGGACATACAGATGGCCAAGAGACATATGAAAAAAGGCTCAGCGTCACTAATCTTCAGAAGATGCAAATTGGAATGAGATACCACTCTGCACTTGTCAGAATGGCCNAGATGGCCAAGAGACATATGAAAAAAGGCTCAGCGTCACTAATCTTCAGAGGATGCAAATTGAAATGAGATACCACTCTGCACTTGTCAGAATGGCCCCATCAACAAATCAACAAACAACAGTGCTGGCGAGGGTGTGGAGAAAGGGGACCCTAGTGCACTGCTGGTGGGAATGCAGACTGGGGCAGCCACTATGGAAAGCAGCATGGAGTTTCCTCAAAAAATTAAAAATTGAACTGCCAGTTGACCCACTGATCCCACATCTACGAATATATCCTAAGAATCTGGATACACCAATCAAAAAGAACATATTCACCCCTATGTTTGTAGCAGAGCTATTTACAATAGCCAAAAACTTGAAACAACCCCAGTGCCCACCAGTAAATGAGTGGATAAAAAAGCTGTGGTACATTTACAAAGTGGGATACTATGTGGCTGTAAAAAAGAAGGGACTTTTGTGACAGCGTGAGTGGANGTACATTTACAAAGTGGGATACTATGTGGCTGTAAAAAAGAAGGGACTTTTGTGACAGTGTGAGTGGACCTGGGGAGTATTATGCTAAGCTAAATAAGCCAGTCAGAGAAAGACAAATACATATCATATGATCTCACTTACATGTGGGGTCTAATGAACAAAATAGCACCAGAGGCACAGATACATGGAACAGACTGACAGATGCCAGAGGGGAGGAGGTTGGGAGGACTGGGTGAAGGAAGGTGAAGAGATTAGCCAAAGAACATATATGCATCATCCACGGACACAGACGACAGTGTGGTGATGGCCAGAGGGAGGACCGGGCTGGGGGGGCTAGGTGGAGGTGGGCAGAGCAGGGCTAAATGGAGGACATGTGTAATAGTGAAAACGACAATCATAAAAAAGTCATCTTACCCACCTATTTTACAGAGGGGAAATCAAAGCAAGGGGGTTAAGTGACTCACCCAGATCATACAGCTACTGAACGAGAAAACTGAGACCAGAACCCAAGGCTCCCAGGATCCCAGTCCAGCACACTTGGCCCAAAGCCATGCCGCTTATCAAGCTAAGGCAAAATCTTTTAACATGTTGAAGGAGTCGTCCACACAAACCTATCCCATTTTCAGGATGTATGAATTTTATAGACCACAAACTTGAGTGTGCAAAAAGGGGTGACTTTATGACACAGGCAGACCTCTCTTTGCACAGCCAGCTGAAACCGTGCAAGGTAATCTTAACATTTGAACTGGTCTGGGAAGATGCATATGAGATCGCCAGGAAGAGCACAGGAAATGGGGGTGGGAGGAGAGCATTTTAGGCGGAGGGCATGGCTGGTGCAAAAGCACGGATGCATAATTGCAATTGTTCTGTGATCGTTAAAATTTTGTGTCAAAACATTAAAAACGCTTACTGCCGACTATAAATATTTCAGGAAATAAAAATAAAGTAAAACCAATATTTGATTAGAAAGTAATTTAAAACATCAGAACCATTGAGAATTAAAGTATTTTATTTCTTTTTTTAAAACTTAGCAAGTATTGTTAAGCAATAGCTTAAACAGTACTCATCTTCTCATTGTATAAATTAGATAAGAACTGGTCATCTATTCTATGCCATGGATGAATTCTTATACTCTTTCCTACGTTTGGGACGGCTTCCAAATCGTAGGCGTTCAACTC